AGATAGATAGATAGATAGATAGATAGATAGATAGATAGATAGATAGATAGATAGATAGATAGATAGATACTGTAGATAGTTTTATTTCTTTTTTGGATTTACCTCTGTAATTTTCACTCATCTCATTTCTTTCTTGCTGTAAGTTGGTTAGCTGGGATGCTCATTTTTCCATTTCTTACTATCCTTACCTCCTTCGCTCATGACTTCAGAAAATCTTGCACCTGGTACTCTGGGTGGCCCTCTGGAATCCCATTGTTAAAGTCAATAATTTTCAGATAAGAATCTCGAACTGAGAGATATTAAGACATTTTAGAAATAGAAAATAATCTGAATAAATAATTATGATGCTATTATTGATATATATTTGCAAGAATATTTGCTCTCAGGTGGAGCTTGTTTTTATGTCATGCTTTAGTTAAACAAAAATGCACGAAGCCCTAAAAACAATCAAGCAGTTCTCCTTTTTGTATTTACTTTGGCTTCTGCTTACTATCCAGTTTATTTTATCAGTGACTCACGCTGCAGTTTTGACAGGTGTTAGATAAAACAGAGGGCCTCCCGACAGAGACCCAGGGAAAAGCAACATCATCTTTAATGTGTTACAAACTGTCTTTTTAAGTAAAACAACAGAATAGAACCCTGTGTAAATGGTTGACCTAATCAAAAAGACATTTACATGGAATCTTGTTTGTATTCTTCTATGAGTTTTACATGACAAGTTGAAAAGGATGTTTCCCTACAAGTTAGTTTGGTTTATACTGACTGGCTGGGGTGTTTCAGAATGAGATATTCAAAATATRCCACAGTCTAAAAAAAACTAACAAATGTTGCAAAGTTGCACACTTGTTGCTAAATGTAGCTGTCAACCTCTTTATTTGTGTCTCTGGGATGGCTGGGGCCAGATGCATGCCTCTGGTTTTCTTTGCAAAGCAAATCAGGAACAGATGATGAAAACAAACTTGATCTAAACTAAAATGGTCTTTAGACCGTAGATTGACCAGTAAACCAAAACAACTTCATCATGACAGATCGGAGCAAAACTCGCTTTTTTGAGGACAAAGCCCCAAACTGTCAGTCCATATCTCCCTCCTTCCTACCATCACACTTGAACAAACACAACGACCTTTGAACAACTCTGCTTGAGGCAAAAACTCAGCTTCCAAATTGGAGGAGGTTTTCCACATTTWTTTTTTTTTTTAAAGCAGAGCCTTAGACTCCCAGCCCCTTCACACTGGAAACCATACCAGTGTGCACTGAATGTCATGACTTGAATGAAAACAAAACTATATTGTCCAGAGATGAAACTGAAAATCCATGCATGGTCCCTCTACACGGTCCATCCGAACCCGCAAAATCTGCTCTCGTTGGCGTAGTTGTGAGATAAAAATCGCATCATTCAATCATCCTCTTGTCCGCCCCTTCTTGACACAAGCCCCAGGGTATGTTGCATGATTTGTCCAAATTATGTGGGCGTTTGCTTATTCAGAAAAATGCTCAGTTTCCTTTGTGAATTTGCTCCAACTGCTCTGCTTCCAGAGTGTTTTTTTTTTTCAACCAAAGTGACATTGCTTGTTTTGAGAAGCAGTTGCACATGACGATCAGGAATTTTGTACATCTGTACAACTCTTCTAGAATGACCTAAAAGATGTGTAAAGATGAATAAAGACATGCTAATGTTGAAGAACTACTAGATGGAAAAAGCACAGACATTTGCCACAGTCAGCAGGAAAGTGTGGCACTCTGTACGTGACAGATTTGATAAGGCAAACAAACGATGCAAGGAACAGCCTAAGTGGAGACTCAGGCAGTTTGAAACCTGTTTCAGCAGAACGTGACATAGACAGCAGGATGGGTTTCCCAGGAGCTCGGGGCGTTGTGTCTTGTAGATGAAAACAAACGACAAGCAACCATGTGACCCCGCGTCAACTGTTCGCTTCAGATGGAGCATGCTAGGCCTTCTAGTCCTAAGAAAAATCTCCACTTTGCACCAAAAATGTAGACACACCTGCTTTGTTTATACAGAGGTAGCACCTAAGGGCACAAGGCCTGCAAAATTTATTGCAAATGTATTTTAATTTTATTTTTACTGACCTTTATTGATATCCGGGTGGAGGAATTCATTCTCTCTATTTTTTCCCATCTCACATGTGAGCACA